TCACGCGCTACAGCACTGGGTGTGTACACAAGTGAGTTTAACGTGGTGCTTGTTTCGGGTGTGTGGACGCTTTCAGTTCCCTACTCACCCACAGACTATGTGTTTTCCTGCTGCTTTGCTGCTTTGCTGCGGCTACCTTCACGGCTGTCGTCTGCATGCTACAGAGGAACATGAGAAGCCCACCGAAGGCTCACAAGAGGACTCCAAGAGTTTGTTTCTATGCAACTAAAGGCTCATTAGTTTCAAAACAACTCCAAAAGATATGCTGTAAAAATTCGTACAATTGCTGCACCCGCGCCTGCACCCTTGCTGTGTGCTGCGGCACACTCTCAGCGCTTTCCTCACTCGCTCGCGCCCCCTTCCGCCCCTCGGCTCCTCCGGGACCTGCCCGCGAGGCTCCCTACACCAGGCTGCAGCAGCGGCAGAATCGCTGCTGCTACCAGCTGCTGCTGCTACTCGCTGCTGTTTCAGGTGGGCGGAGGCGTGGTGTTCGGCCCGGGAGCGACGAGGGCACCCACAGCACCTAGATATCCATCGTGACGCAAAAACAGCACCTGCAGCAACAGACAGCAAACCACTCCGCCCGTGGACGAGGCTGATAGTTAGACCGGGTGCTACAGGCGCCACCGAAGGGCTGCAGCAGCAGCAACATCAGCGGCCCTACTCCGCAGCACCCCCCAAAAGCTCCTATCTTACCTCGAACGGGGCCCATGAAGCGGCTGGCTCAGTAGCAACAGCATCTTGAGGGGACGCAGGCGTANTCTTACCTCGAACGGGGCCCATGAAGCGGCTGGCTCAGTAGCAACAGCATCTTGAGGGGACGCAGGCGTAGGAGGAGAGAAGATACTGCTCCTGCTGATGCCCAAAGGAGGGCAAGAGGGAGAGCGCAAGTTGTTACCTGTAGAGGCAGCTTCTTGCTGCCCATGCTGCTGCTGCTGCTGCTGCTCATGCAGCTGACCTGGCTGTGGGTGTGAAGGCCCTTCGATCTGCGGCCGTGAAGGCATTGCAACAGGACTAGAAGCGCCTACCATCGAGTCCCCGCACAATTCGGATGCAGCTGTTTCCTCAGATGCTCCATGTGGCGGCAGCACAACAGCAGCAGCTGCAACAGCAGCGTCTGCTGCTCCTACAGCGTCTGCTGCTGCTGTTGCTGCTGCTGCTGCTGCTGGCCCGTCGCTACCTGTCGCTTTCAGCTCACGATCTATGACGGCAGGCCCCTGTTGCTTGGCTGCTTCAGCGTTAGTCAGCAGCTGCTGCTGCAGCAGGATCCGCTGCTGCGCGCTCACATTGAAATTAGGCGGAGCAGCAAGCAGCGGTGATGCGGGTCCTCGCAGGCAGGTTTGAGGGGTATGCTGGTCGTATTGCTGCATGTAAAAGTTCACGCCTTGCGTGATGGACTCCATCGTAAAATCGTAGTTGTTTATAAACTTGCCAGCGAAAAATATCCTGCAGCAGCAGCAGCAAACATACCCAGGCACTATACCCCGTTGCTGAAGCTGCTGCAACTGTAACAGCTGCTCAGCCTGTCGATACTTTGTGAAGGCTGCGCTAGAGAGTGTATTACATCGTCTATGGAGACCGGGGGTAAACAGGCAAGCTGCAGCAGATGGTGCTGCAGCAGCAGCGGCAGCAGCACAAGTTGCAGCTGTGCTGCAGCACTCTAATAAAACTACGCGGGATGCTCTCACCTACGTACGCCGTGGGCG